GCTTGCTGTCACTTTATCGACGATGATTTTATCAATTTTACTGATGTGAAACTTATGAATAGCGAATCGTTTGTAGCGACGGCCACAAACAAAGGTATAAAATTCAACAATAACCAATCAAGAGAGAAGAAAGCGATAAAAATCTGCCTCGTCAGTCATGTATTGAAAGATACATGATCGCCTAAGCTTGTATCACGCATCGGACATAACTGATGACAGATTATTTAGGATGTTTCTGTAATCGTATTGCTCAGAGCAATCGTTATAGTTTTGCATCTGGCGAAATGAACTGTTCTTTCTCCAGCAAGTATAACGTGTACCGATAATGCCCGCGGACATTAAATGATCTCTGACAATGATCCTCATAGATGTGCCGGGATTTGCATCGATATTCTGCATATCCTGTACGAATTCTTTTGCTGATTGAACGATTCGTTATCTTCGACTTATCCACCCTTTGTTGTAGAAGTCTTACTAATTAACCCATAGTTGGGGGAAGAAGTGGATGCCTATCTTTCAGAAGGGCATTTGCGCGTAAGTAAATATTACGAACCTAACAGGAATTGGAACTCTGCTCTCCGATTAAGAATTCCGAAACATTACTCGCATATCTAAGCTTACAACACCTAGTCACCCATCTAGGTACTAACCAGGTTCCATGTTGCTTAACATCGGGGATTGTACGAAAACTGGTGATTCAATTTGATGTGGACGAAAGTCTATGATATTGGTCTCTAACAAATGCAGAAATTGGAATATTTTGGTAATGGCATATCTTAATAAAAGCAAATGTCTACAACGGTTGCTGGAACAAAATCCGCCACCCTCTTCATCTCTTCACCCACTGGCTCAACAAACGGCTATTACATCACCCTTAAATACATGCTGATAGCAAATAACATCTGTTAAATATGGCGAAACGTTGTACGAACCTGGACGTAAATTTACTTTGAATGATCTAACACTTTTAAATATTTTCATCATGGTGAATTGTTTTCTAAAACACTTGATCAGTAGAAAAAGAAATAAATAAAAACAAAACAAAAAACAAAACAAAACAAAAAACAAACAAATGAACCAAAATAGGAAAGCGGAATTTAGACTATCACCTGTAATGATTGTCAGAAAGAATATACTGATGAAAGCTCAAAAAGTTTACATAAATCTACAATTTCCAATTCCGAACTGTTATACATAAAAATACCGGCACATCCAAGCTTACAGCTGCTGTTATTATTACCCATCCATATAGATTCTGACTAGTCTCGACGTTGCTTAACTTCGGAGATCGGATAAGAATCGGTGTTTTAACGTGATATGGCCATAATTCTTGATAAAAAGATATTGATGATAATGATACAACAACAACAAAAACAATAATAATATTAATAGAAGCTGTAACAAATTTATGAGACTTTACAATACAAGTAGACAGAACAAAGAAACCTAATCGCCTAGATGTAGTGATCAGAGACCACAAAAACAATGTGGTCTTTACTATTGACGTGCCAGTCTTTGCAGATTGTAATGTGTCTTTGAAGATTTTCAACAAACTATTAATAGTAGAAGGATCTTGAAATCGAAATCTCAAAAATGTGTCACGTGAGAACATCAACAATTCCAGTTGTAGTTGGAGTTCCCGGATTGATTGGAAAACATTTCAATTGATTCATTGAAGGAATTCTTGATAGTCCATGCCTTAAAGAAATACAAATAATTGTTTTCACAAGTAGAGCTCACACCTTACGAAGGGCTTTATCCATTTAAAATGTGTGTGATTTTTTTTTACAGAAATGATCAGTGAAAAATATTATAAAGAAATTCCTGACCTTAGGTCTCTGGCCAGAAAGAAATGTGTATACAACAGAAATGAAATGAAATAATAATAATAATAATATAAAGACCACAAAAATAGAATGTACTTGCTTATTGACTTACCAGTCCCTGCAGATTGTAATGTATCTTTGAAGATCTTATAAAAAACTATAAAAATACAATCTCAAAAATATGACACATGAGGACATCAATAATTTCAGTTGTAGTTGGAGTCCTTGAATTGATTGGAAAATATTCCGATAGATTCATTGAAGGAATTCCTGATGGTCCATGCCTTAAAGAAATACGAAACATTGTATTTACAAGTACAGGTTACAACTTTGTCTGTGTAAAATGTGTGTGATCATTGGGTTTTTTTGTTGTTTTTTTTTTGTTTTTTTACAAAAAATGGTCAGTGGAAACACCATGAATCCATTTCTGATTCCAGTAGACTTATTGAAAGGATTCCTGGAAGTCCATGCCTTAAAGATATACAAAAAATTGTTCTCGCGAATACAGTCCACACCTTACGAAGGGCTTTATTTATTTATTTTTTTTAATTGGTCAGTGGAAAATGCCATTTCTAACCTTGGGTCTCTTGGCGGTCCCTGTCCCACACCAGAAATAAAAACGAAAATGTATACAATAATAAGAAATAAAAAACAAAATAATAATAATAATAATAATAATAATAATAATAATAATAATAATGAAAATAGAAATAATAATAATAATGAAAAATAATAATAATAATAATAATAAAATAAAAATGGAAAAACATAATAAAATAATAAATAAAGATATATATATTATATCCACACAGACAGAAAATAATTATTATTGTAAAAACCAGAAAGAAAAAACTTGCCGTCTAATTGATATGGTCCGTTTGTAATAAACAAACCAATTTGAAAACTATCAAAAATAAAAAATTGAATGTACCATTTGTTAAAAATTAAGGAGAACTTTGTCTATATGAAAAAAAAAAAAAAAAAAAATTAACATGAAATTATGAACAACACACACGATTTTTAGAAAATTCCATAGCAGAAATCGAATGATGATAATAATAATGATAATAATAATAATAAATCTAAAAATTAAATTAATAAAAACGATGTTTTGTTGCTGAAACTTTTATGACAATTTCTATATTTTCCATTTAATGTTTTTATGTAAAAAAAAAATGTTTTTTTTTTGTGACCACCATAAATGTATTGCTTTAAAACCTCGAAATCTTTTCTTTTTCAAACGAAAGTAAAAAAACAGGTCAAAGAAGAATGAAGACCTTAGATTTCCCACCCACTTAACTACATCAGATAGATTTGTTTTGGCAAGACAAGTATATTTGTAGATGGGCATTTCATTTGTTTTTCTTCTCGCGTGGAAGACATTACGATTTAATGTCCACCCATCCCAACCAAGCACCGAGAAGCCGGTCAAAATGAAGTGCACATATTTATGTAAGTTGAACTACAGAACTTAACAGTGTACAAATGCGAGGGGATTGATAAGAAGCTGATAAGAAGTCCAGCTTTCCGTCCTATTTTTTTTCTCTATCTCTTAACACGCCTCATCTTAAAACTGCATTTAACTCAGGGCACATCAACTTCCAAAGTCATTTTTATCAGGTTTCTTATCTATATATCTCAATAAGTTCATATCTATCTATCTCAATAAGTTCATACCTATTTGTCTATATATCTATCTTAATAAGTTCATATCTATCTATCTATCTATCTATCTATCTATCTATCTATCTATATATATATATATATATATATATATATATGTGTGTGTGTGTGTGTGTGTGTCAGTAATTTCATATCTATCTATCTATCTAACTATTTATCTCAGTAATTTCCTATCTATCTATCTATCTATCTATCTATCTATCTATCTATCTATCTCTATCTATGTGTGTGTGTGTGTGTGTGTCAGTAATTTCATATCTTTCTGTGGTTGGTCATTATGTCATTTTTCTCTACCACTGTTCAACCGGTGGCTGGTCATTATGTCATTTTTCTCGACCACTGTTCAACCGGTGGCTGGTCATTATGTCATTTTTCTCGACCACTGTTCAACCGGTGGCTGGTCGTTATGTCATTTTTCTCGACTACTGTCCCACCGGTGGCTGGTCGTTATGTCATTTTTCTCGACCACTGTTCAACCGGTGGCTGGTCATTATGTCATTTTTCTCTACCACCGGTGAAGCTGTGGTCAGGGCTCAAAGTGAGATGTTGATATGCAGAATAAACCAAACCAAACAGTTTTAGCATCTTTATTGCTATATTCACGGCGCTTTTACCCAAGGGCCCAGTAGATAAAAGCGTTGCTTGATGTAATCCGAGAATTGACTTGACCCAAAGAATTGTGAGTTCAATACCTGGCCACAGCAGGACTGAACAAAACCTGTCAGAGTTGAGTTACTAAATTGGAACTAATTGAAACTGAGATGTCTAAAAAGACATGAAATTAGAACAATATAAACCTGGACTAAATAAAGGGTAAGGTTCGAAATCTTAACGTATATCACCTGAAGAAGGCCGGAGCATACAACGGACGAAATGCTGCGCATATGACAATAAAGATAAGGACAACAGTTCGAACGCTGTAAATGATTATTTATTATTGTCATTCAAAATGTAATAAGTCACAAAATAAATAGTAAATTATTTGAGACGTAAATCAGATGTGCGGCCAAAATTGTATTCACCCCCGGGCGCTAAGAACATTTCTTACGTCACTTCTTACGTCACTGACTGTCAAAGATAATGAAGGATAATGGATTTCATAAACATAAGGAAATAATATTTTTGCTTATTAGAATTGTTGATTTGGGGATTCGTTTTGTAATTAGTGCCTATTTCTTCATTTATTTATCAGTTTTGTTTATTGGATGTGACCCCAGATACTTTGGACAACAGGTCATTTTCTAACTGATTTTAAACCTGCAAGTATGGGCAAGTGATCGAAAAGTGTTTCTATCAATAAACAGGCTTTAGGATGCCATTTAAAGTGACGTCGCTTAAATTTAAAGGAAGAAAATAGATGTTAAATGATGAGAAGAAAAAATGCTAAAGCATATATATATTCTTCTTTACGGATCTAATCGCCACACGAGCTGCTACTCAAAAGAGACAGAGGGAAGAGAGAAAGAGAAAAATAGAGGATAGAGGAATAGACTAGAAAGAAAGCAAGAAAGAAAGAAAGAAAGAAAGAAAGAAAGAAAGAAAAGGAAAACATCTGGAACATGTCAATTGATAAGTATGAATGAAAAAAAAAAAATAAATAAATAAATAAATAAATAAATAAATAAAGAAAGAAAGAAAGAAAGAAAGAAAGAAAGAAAGAAAGGAAGAATTGCTGAAACCGAAAGGAAGGATAATAAATGATTTTAAAGTCATGAGAAAAGGAAAGGAAAACAAAAAAAAGAGAAAGAAAAGTGAGGCAAAAAAAGAAAAATGAGGGAGAAAACAAATAAATAAAGAAACAAAGAGAAAAACAACAAAAGAAAGAAAGAAAGAAAGAAAGAAAGAAAGAAAGAAAGAAAAGAAAAGAGAAAGATAGACAGTCAAGGAGACAAACAGACAGAAGAAAAAAAAATCAACGAAAGAAAAAAAGAATGAAAGAAAGACAGACAGAAGGAGAAAAACAACCATAGATAGATAGATAGATAGATAGATAGATAGATAGATAGATAGATAGACAGAAAATTGAAAACATTCAAAGAAAGAAAAAAAGAAAGAAGGAAAAAAAGAGAGATAGAAAAATAAGAGAAAAACAACGAAAGAAAGAAAATGAAAGCAACTGGAAGAAGTCAACTGATGCATATGAAAAAAAGAAATCATGAATGAAAGAAAGAAAATAAAGAATAAAAGAAAGAATTAATGAAACCGAAAGGAATCATAGTAAATGATTTTAAAATCGTAAGAGAAAAGGAAAATACAAGAGGTAGAAAGAAACGATTATCTAAAGAAAGAAAGAAAGAAAGAAAGAAAGAAAGAAAGAAAGAAAAAGCAAACAGGCAGAAAGAGAAAAACAGCCAAAGAAAAAACCAAGCAAATAAACGAAGAATAAAAAAAAGAATAAAAACGAAGAATAAAAAAAGCAAATAAACGAAGAATCAAAAATAGAAAGAAGCAAAAAAAATAAATAAAAATAAAAAAAATACAAAGAAAAAATAAACAGTGAATGGTAGTAAAGAAAGAAAGAAAGAAAGAAAGAAAAAGAAAGAAAGAAAGAGAAATAAAATAATAGGGAACGAAAGAAATAAAGATGAAAGATATCTGAGCGAAGTTAATTAGGAATGAAAGAAAGAATGAAAGAAAAGAAACAGAAGAAAAAAAAAAGGGAAAAAAGGGAAGTTCAAGTAACAAAGAAAAAAAAAGGAAAGGAAGTAAATAACAAGAGAAAAAAAAAGAAGGAAAGAAATAGAGAAATCATGTAAAGAATAGATTGAAAGATAGAGATAGGGAAAAAGAAATGGAATCGGAAAAGAAGAAGAGCAGGAAATTACCAAGCTGCCCAACTCACTGGCGAGCAAGTTCAATCAGAGAGAGGGTTTTTAATAAAACCGAAATGATTACGAAGTCTATTCTGGGATTTTCAATGCTTCATTCTTTTGCTCACCTTACTTTATTTTTTTTTTAATCCATTAAGTCTATTTGATCTGCGTTAAAGACTACCTGTTTGGGTCAATCGCCGTCAGAATTGTTCTCTAATTTAATATATATATATATATATATATATAAAACAACAGAATTTATACGACATACAATACAAATAGAACGCATCTCAGACAGTCACTATTACGTTAGCCTGAGAATAAAACACTGATTTCATTTTGCCCAAAAAGAAAGAACAAAATACAAATAGGTAAGAAAAACAAATAAAAAAAAACATCTCTTTTCAGTTTTGATTACCATTTTATTTTCTGTTATTTGTTTGACTTTTATTTACTTGTCTTTGCTTCGGCGTTAAGCACTGCGATAGGAACGTTTAAGCGGAACAATACTAGAAATTCTTCAAGTAACGTTTCTTGGAATATTGTCTGTCGATAATATGTTTACCAAGATTGGTGTATTTCAGTTTTCAATTCCTGATCGATCGCTTCCAATCCAGACAATGAATGGTCGTAGGGAATGGTTTCAAATGATCTTCGTGGCACCAATAAACATGTTTGCATTCTTCTCAAAACAGCAAAAAGAAATTACGTTTCCAAGCAGAAGGATAATCGAGCAAGTGAAATTTATTTACTGAAAAAAAAGTTTGAACAAAGCAACTATAAACAATTTTTTTTCTATCCTCTACCAACCGCAATGATGGAGAAAGCATTACCTCGTACCATGGCCAGTGAGACACGCTGCAAGAGCCACTACTTTTCGTGAGGCTCATCCCTTAATCGAGACGCAATCGCGCCAATCCTCCGATAATCTATTCTGATGTCATAGTTATTTTACTATCCACGGCACTTTTGATTCATACGTTGATTTAATGGATTTTTTTTTTTAATATTTTGTAAAAAGTGATGACGAATATTGTATTTACATATATATATATATATATATATATATATATATATATATATATATATATATATATATATTATTTAGTTGACTTGTGGGAACACAATAAACCATTTTTTGAAATAATAACAATTTCGTTTACTCTTGCCGCCTTTGTCAAATTTTGATATTGAATAAAATTTTTTGAACTGAGCTAAATTATATATCCAGTGGACGTTACTGACCCCAGCGCGTGTATTACCAGTCTTTTATTCAGGCACGATAAAAAAAAAAAAAACTTTTATTATCGCTTTCCTATTATTTTTTCTCCACGTCTAATATAAGGGGGAGTTGCGTAGTCGAAAACAATTTTGTGCTAATAAGAATGTATATTTAAGAATATAAAATGAAGTATATTAATTAATTAATTAATAATAATAACTGGAAAGATCCGTGAAAATTTCACGGTTTTCCTATTTTGATATTCTGATGAATGGTAACCATGACCACCGCTTTACCGTGGTAAAAAAAATGACTTAAACACCAGCCACCGGTTGAACCGTAGGTAAAAACTTATAATTTTTATATCTAACGTGAAGCATTATATACAAATTATTTGCGAATTTTGGGTCACGAGCTCAGGCAGAAGGGTTAAATTTGTTCAGGAATGCAACCGGTGGCTGGTCATTATGTCATTTTTCTCTACCACCGGTGAAGCTGTGGTCAGGGCTCAAATTGAGATGCTGATATGCAGAATAAACCAACCAAACAGTTAATCATTAATTTAATAATTGAGTTAGCTCATGACGTGTTCTACGTCAGTAAAGTATCTGTAGTACTTTTCCTATCGCATCCTTATATATTTGAGCTTAACAACTTTAACAAAATATTGCAATCACAATCATAATTATGAATGCTGATCGTTATTTTAAGAAGTGGGTACAAATGAAAAGCACTGAAATTGATAACTTTTTTTTCTAATTTTACTAAAACAAACGTCAAACACTTCTATCTTTCTTTCTTTCTTTCTTTCTTCATATGCGTTGTATTTATCAAAAAGAATAGTCCATTATTCATGTGGTATTAGCAAAACGTACCGGTCGTGCGAACTAACGAAGGGCATGGCAAACACAATTACAATATGTTAATAATGGGCATATGCAATTAAAGGAGATATCCTCATCGACTATTTTAGTCTATCTTCTTGCAAAACTATTCTGTGAAAGATTTTATAAATTTAACCTAAAGCAACGTAAACTTTTTGGTCAATGAATGCTATAAGTTTCCTCTATAGGTCATTTCCGCATTACGATAGTTAAGATCGATAGTTTAAAAAATGGCTACGAGCAGCTGAAATGTGTAGGTCTCAGTGAGGACCATCCTTCATCAAATCTAGTTGACCGACGCTACAGAATCACAAACAAAAAGCAGTACAAAATAATAGAAACCACATCTTTTTCAAAAGCAACAGGACTACCAACAGCAGTAACAACTAAAATGGATAGCACATGTAACTCACAGAGATAATAATGAAATAATCAAGATGCTGACGTTCCACACTACCGCAAACAAAAGCCAAGGAAGGAAACCCCATCGATACTGAAAGAGCAATAGCAGCGACTGGACTTGGGAAAATTATTTTCCTGAAAAATTGTTCCATAGAAAGATTTTATAAATTTCAGCCAACAGCAGTACTGGCTGCTCTGTTAATGAATTCCAAATGTTTCCTTATAAGGAAATGGCTAATATAACAATTACCCTGAAAGTAATACAAGATAGGAACTTGTGGAGAGACATGATCGTCTTATAAAAGAAGTAGAAGTTGCTGTCGTCTACTTACATTCTTCTTTGAGATTTCCTAGCTTTTGTTCAGTCTATAAATGTTATATGTTTCCTTATACGGAAAGGGCTAATATTACCAATGCTCTCTCTCTCTCTGTATACATACATACATACATACATACATACATATATATATATATATATATATATATATATATATATATATCAAAAACGTATCAGTTGTAAGGGCTTAGAAATATTTACTGTCATTTTTTTATATCAGTCCGTGTTTATTGGTGTATCCTTATATATGATGATTTTCTAAGTGTAGCTTAGATGTGGCACAAGGCCCAAAGTATGGGGCACCCAGAGAGAAACAAACTTGCTACTCAGTTGTAATTGTTCTAGCGAGATAAACTTGTTTACCATTACACGGATATGATCAGACAGAGGACATAACATATTAATGATAATGCATTTATGTATATATAGATCAATGATTCGGAACCACACTGTCGTGGTTTGCCGCGCGATCCTTTTAACTGTGTCGGAAAATATTGTCACGGCATCCATATATATCTGTGGATCTGGAAGTAGTAATGGAACAGTTTTAGTATTTGAATAAATGAATAAGTATGAAACTATTTTATCAAATAATTCTTTTCAATATTTGATTACGTTAATTCAAATACGTAAATCTATGGTTTTATATTATAACATTTAAATATATACCCTTTAAAAATTTTGCTTAGTGTGTCGTGATATTTTCATTTGCACCTAGGTATGCCGTTGCTTAAAAAGGTTAAGAAACACTTCAATAGATGAACATAATCTGTTCATGATCTTCATTCATTAACCAAATCTTTTCTTACGTAAGTAATTAAAATATTAATAAATATATTGTAGGACCTACACTGTATTTTTCCTTCCACTGTGAATCTTAACACTAAGGCCGTCAACCATCTGTTTAACCATTGCATAAATTATTAATTCACCTATATTTTCACCGTCTTCTTTAAATCCTACTAAAAGTAAATTTTCTGACACTTCAATAAAACTGCTGGCATATTTATTAATTTGGTTTTGTCGTTAGCCACATGAACACGTTTTAATTTATATTTGCTTTTTAGTTTGATACCCATTACTGATTCCGCCATCCCATATTTTGCACATAGACACGGCATTATATGTGGTTGTGACTCGAAATGATGTTTATTAACTACTGTCGTTGTTTCGTGGTGTGTAGTATCGCTGGGTTAGTCAGCACGGCTGTCTTCAGGGCAATAAAACAAAGTCGCACTGCAGGTTTCTTAACGAAAGTCAAATCCGCCGTCTTTTCACCAGAAGAACAATATTTTCGTAGTATTAATTAAAACAACGCATATGGTCTGTATTGGATACATTTATTGTCCCCTTTAGGGAAATTGTTCCACCTACTTTTCAGTGACGGTGATGATGAAGTAAATGAGAGAAATTCCCAGTCCTATTATTTCCACATCCACATTCATCCGCTGCGAAAATTCTCACAGAATTTTATATGGAGAAACTACTTTGTTACCAGG